TTGTGTTGTCAAGCTGGTGCCTCTAGAGCTGTAGGGAGGACAAATTTGCATTCAGCTCCCAGTGTTGCCCCGTGGCTCAGTGGTAAAGAATCCACCTGCAAATGAGGGGGATGCAGGTTTGATCCCTGGAGTGGGAAGAAAAGATCCTCTAGAGGAGGACATGGCAACCCACTCCAGTGTTCTTGCCTGGAGAATCCCATAGACAGAGGAGCCTGGTGGGCTACAGTCCATGGGGTCGTAAAAGACTCGGACATGACTGAGCGTGCGCATATGCCTGCATGCATGGCCAGTGTTGCCGCTCCCTAATCATTCAACCTCTGGGCAAGTCAGGAGACTTCTCTGGACCTTTGTCTCTTCATCTGTAAAATCAGGATGATGAGAATGCTTGTTTTGGGGGTTATGATGAGGCTTAAATAAGATCATATTTACGAATACCCAGGGATCACTCCAGGCAAGAACACAACAAAACCAAGTATTCTTCTCCTTCCTTGTCTTTCTTTCCAAGCCTGTCAAGGCCTTGTTTAACAGGAGAGAGGTAAGAGCAAGTCTTTGTCTATAAAAGTACAGCGACCTTGTAGAGAAAACCAAGTCACGAAGCCACACATCTATTAATATTTCCACATTTGTGTGTTTGCCACCAGCTTGCTGTCTCTGCCAAGTCACAGAAGGTTCATAAACATTGTGAGTCTTGAGAGCCAAGCAGGCACATTTTGCTTTCTCCCTGATGCAACTTTATTGTTGCTGCAGTAACTGAAATCCTAGGTGTCTTTAGCCTACCTGTCCACACTCCATGTGTGACCAAGGTGGGGCAAAACAAGCCCACTTTGTCCCTTGGGTCCCTGTGTCAATGTGCTAATTTTCTGATGAATTCAAACAAGAAATGGAGCAGTCCGACTTATAGCTGCTCCAGGTGGTACCTGGGGCCAACTGTACTGAGCTGAAAGGAAAAGCTGAGCCTTTGGAATCCCAGAATATGGAGACTGGAAGGTCTTTAGGAATCCTCTGCTCTGGTGGCCGCCTCCCACCAGAAGCGCCTCTGTAGTGTCCTGCCCATGGTGGGGGCAGCCCTCTTAGTGTTAAACATGTGTGAGGTGGGTTTCAATTGCTGGAGGCTCCACACATGGTTGGTCAGTTCAGTTCAGTTCAGTTGCTCAGTCATGTCTGACTCTTTGCTACCCCATGGACTGCAGCATGCCAGGCTTCGCCGTTCATCACCGACTCCTAGAGGTGGCTCAAACTCATGTCTATCAAGTTGGTGATGCCATCCAACCTCATCCTCTGTCATCCTCATCTCCTCCTGCCTTCAATCTTTCCCAGTGTCAGGGTCTTTTCCAATGAGTCAATTCTTCACATCAGGTAGCCAAAGTATTAGAGCTTCAGCTTCAGCATCAGTCCTATTCCAATGAATATTCTGGACTGATTTCCTTTAGGACGAACTGTTTGGATCTCCTTGCCATCCAAGGGACTCTCAAGAGTCTTCTCCAACACCACAGTTCAAAAGCATCAATTCTTCAGTACTCAGCTTTCTCTATGACCCCACTCTCACATCCATACATGACTACTGGGGAAACTATAGCTTTGGCTAGATTGACCTTTGTTGGCAAAGTAATGTCTCTGCTTTTTAATATGCTGTCTAGGTTGGTCATAGCTTTTCTTCCAAGGAGCAAGCTTCTTTTAATTTCATGGCTGCATTCAGCATCTGCAGTGATTTTGGAATCCAAGAAAATAAAGTCTGTCACTGATTCCATTGTTTTCCCAACTATTGGCCATGAAGTGATGGGACAGGATGCTATGATCTTCATTTTTCTGAATGGTGAATTTTAAGCCAGCTTTTTCACTCTCTTTCACTTTAATCAAGAGGTTCTTTAATTCCTCTTTGCTTTTTGCCATAAGGGTGGTGTCACCTGTGTATCTGAGGTTATTGATACTTCTCCCAGCAGTCTTGATTTCAGGTTATGCTTCATCCAGCCCAGCATTTTGCATCATGTACTCTGCATATAAGTTAAATAAACAGGGTGACAATATCCAGCCTCAATGAACTCCTTTCCCAATTTGGAACCTATCCATTGTTCTGTGTCCAATTCTAACTGTTGCTTCTTGGCCTGCATACAGGTTTTGCAGGAGGCAGGTAAGGTGGTCTGGTATTCTCATCTCTTTAAGAATTCTCCAGTTTGTTGTGATCCACACAGTAGAAGGCCTTGGTGTAGTCAATAAAGCAGAACTATCTTGCTTTTTTGATGATCCAACGGATGTTGGCAATTTGATCTCTGGTTCCTCTGCCTTTTCTAAAGCCAGTGTGAACATCTGGAACTTCTCGGTTTACGTACTGTTGAAGCCTCAGTTGGAGAATTTTGAGCAATGCTTTGTTAGTGTGTGAGATGAGTGCAATTGTGTGGTAGTTTGAACATTCTTTAGCATTGCCTTCCTTTGGGATTGGAATGAAAACTGACCTTTTTCAGTCCTGTGGCCACTGCTGAGTTTTCCAGATTTTCTGGCATATTGAGTGTAGAACTTTCAAAGCGTAATCTTTTAGGATTTGAAATAGCTCAGCTGGAATTCCATCACTTCCACTAGCTTTGTTCATAGTGATGCTTCCTAAGACCCACTTGACTTTGCACTCCAGGATGTCTGGCTCTAGGTGAGTGATCCACACAGTCAAAGGCTTTGGCATAGTCAATAAAGTAGAAATAGATGTTTTTCTGGAACTCTCTTACTTTTTCAGTGATCCAGCAGATGTTGGCAATTTGATCTCTGGTTCCTCTGCCTTTTCTAAATCCAGCTTGAACATCTGGAAGTTCACAGTTCATGTATTGCTGAAGCCTGGTTTGGAGAATTTTGAGCATTACTTTACTAGCTTGTGAGATGAGTGCAATTGTGCGATAGTTTGAGCATTCTTTGGCATTGCCTTTCTTTGGGATTGGAATGAAAACTGACCTTTTCCAGTCCTGTGGCCACTGCTGAGTTTTCCAAATTTGCTGACATATTGAGTGCAGCACTTTCACAGCATCATCTTTTAGAATTTGAAATAGCTTAACTGGAATCCCATCACCTTCACTAGCTTTGTTCATAGTGATGCTTCCTAAGGCCCACTTGACTTCACACTCCAGGATGTCTGAATCTAGATGAGTGATCACACCATCATGGTTATCTGGGTCATGAAGATCTTTTTGTATAATTCTTCTGTGTATTCTTGCCACCTCTTCTTAATATCTTCTGCTTCTGTTAGGTCCATACCATTTCTGTCCTTTGGTGTACCCATCTTTGCATGAAGTGTTCCCTTGGTGTCTCTAATTTTCTTGACGAGATCTCTAGTCTTTCCCACTCTATTGTTTTCCTCTATTTCTTTGCATTGATCGAGGAAGGCTTTCTTATCTCTCCTTGCTATTCTTTGGACTCTGCATTCAGATGGGTATATATTTCCTTTTCTCCTTTGCCTTTTGCTTTTCTTCTTTTCTCAGCTATTAGTAAGGCCTCCTCAGGCAACCATTTTGCCTTTTTGCATTTCTTTTTCTGGGAGATGGCCTTGATCACTACTTCCTGTACAATGTCACAAACCCCTTGTTCATAGTTTTTCAGGCAGTCTTATCAAATCTAATCTCTTGAATCTATTTGTCGCTTCCACTGTATAATTGTAAGGGATTTGATTTAGGTCATACCTGAATAGTCTAGTGGTTTTCCCTACTTTCTTCAATTTAAGTCTGAATTTGGCAATAAGGAGTTCATGATCTGAGCTACAGTCAGCTCCCGGTCTTGTTTTTGCTGACTGCATAGAGCTTCTCCATCTTTGGCTGCAAAGAGTATAATCAGTCTCATTTCAGTGTTGACCATCTGGTGATGTCCATGTGTAGAGTCATCTCTGTGTTGTTGGAAGAGGGTGTTTGCTATGACCAGTGCATTCTCTTGGCAAAACTGTCAATCTTTGCTCTGCTTCGTTTTGTACTCCAAGGCCAAAATTGCCTGTTACTCTAGGTATCTCTTGACTTCCTACATTTGCATTCCAGTCCCCTATGATGAAAAAGAGGTCTTTTTTGGGTGTTAGTTCTAGAAGGTCTTGTAGGTCTTCATAGAACTGTTCAACTTCAGGTTATTTGGCATTAGTGGTTGGGGCATAGACTTGGATTACTGTGATACTGAATGGTTTGCCTTGGATACAAACAGAGATCATTCTGTCATTTTTGAGATTGCACCCAAGCACTGCATTTCAGACTCTTTTGTTGACTATGGCTAAAGGCTATTCCATTACTTCCAAGGGATCCTTGCCCACAGTAGTAGATACAATGGTCACCTGAATTAAATCTGCCCATTCCAGTCCATTTTAATTCACCTATTCCTAAAATGTCGATGTTCACTCTTGTCATCTTGTTTGACCACTTCCAATTTATCTTGATTCATGGACCTAACATTCCAGGTTCCTGTGCAATATTGTTCTTTACAGCATTGGGCTTTACCTCCATCACCAGTCACGTCCACAGCTGGGTGTTTTTTTCACTTTGGCTCCGTCTCTTCATTCTCTCTGGAGCTATTTCTCTACTCTTCTCCCAGAGCGTATTGGGCACCTCCCGACCTGGGGAGTTCATCTTTCAGTGTCTTATCTTTTTGCCTTTTCACACTGTTCATGGGGTTCTCAAGGCTAGAATACGCAGTGGTTGCCATTCCCTTCTCCAGTGGTTGATCAGAGTCACCTCTTGTTCCCCAGGCCTTCGGGGAGGTTGCCTCTTTTTCCCAAGAATTCCCTTACTTTTTTCGATCACTCATCCATTTACTTGTTCTAGCCACACATTTTGGTAGAAGTCTTTAAGCCCCTGGCACTGTCCTGGGTTCTGATCAGCATAGCAGTGACTCTGACATAGATCATGACCTCAGGACAAAGCCACAAGGTGTCAACTGAAAAAAAAAGTACAACCTAAGAGCTGAGAGTTATGAGGTTTTTGGTTTGGGGTTTTTGGTTGTTGTTGTTGTCAGTCTTATTTGTTTTTACTGCAGTATAGTTGATTTATAATATGCCAATCTCTGCTTTACAGTTACACATATGCATGCGCATTCTTTTTTTATATCCTTTTTCATTAAGGTTTACCACAGATGTTGAATACAGTTCCCTGTGCTATATAGTAGGAGCTTGTTTTTCATCCATTTTAAATGTAATAGTTTGCATACCAATCCCAGACTCTCAGTCCATCCCTCTCCCTCCCCTCAGCCCCAGCCTTTGCAACCAGAGAGCTGTGTTTTATTCAATGGACAAAACTGAGGACTTAAGCCCCTCGGGTAATGTCTCAGCATCTCAGATAACTTGGAAAAACTGCTCCAAAGATGCAAGAGTGGAGTCAGGATACATAGGAGTTTTGGCAACAGGCACCAGGTAGTTGGAACATCAAAATTTTGCTGTTAATTAAAGAAAACCAGATATATCAAGTTAAGGGATTTAGTGCTTTTCTATGTATGGGAAGATGCAAGAGTCTGGGCTCACTGACATCATTCCTTTGATATGCACCTCAGCTCTCTGGGGCCAGTATCCTGTGCTTTTTTATCCTGGGTCTCCTCAGCGTGTACCATCAAGGCAGCTGTAATGTGATGGGGTGGTGGCTGCAGATCCTTTGTTTGCTGATATGGCAGACAGTATTTTTCATTCACAAAGGGGATGAAAGGAGCAGTGAGCAGGTCTGCATGGGGGATGGCGCCTTGGCTAAAATAGAGACCAGTGGTCACCTAAGATTTCCTGAATACATAACATGAGCAGGGGAATAGAGCTACAAATAAGGGAGAAGGAATCCAGAGAGATTTATGGCCTGGGGCTTGATGAAATTTGGGCCATGAGGGAGGAAGTAGTCAGGAATGATCCAGCTCAGTGATGAGAGTGAGAATGTGACAGGAGATAGCTGGACCCCAGGCTGAGCAGCTGGAGTTTGCCCCTGTGGACAGATACTCCACGATGAAGAGGAGGAGAAGCTAAGCCCCACCCAGATAAGAGACCACATATTTCTTGTTCTCGAGGTCAAGGAGACCTTCCTGACTATGCATCCTCTGAAAGGTTCCTTGGTGGTCAAAAGGGAGGAGGCTTCACCTCATAGTCAGTGATGTCAACCTACCCATAGGCCTCTTTGCTGGAATCCATCTTGGCTAAGAGATACATGCACACACATGGGAGGACCCTGAGAAAGACGAAGTGCGGACTCAGAACCAGGCAAAGCAAGATGACTGGTCAAAGAAAACCCAGAATAAATGACCCATAAAAGTGACTCAAACTACCCTGAGGACAAGACTCTCTGAGCAAACCCATGTGTCTATACACATGTACCCTTCTTCCTCTTAACAAGCACTACTTGTTTCACTACTTTCCATCTTTGTTGGAATTCATTTCGACAAAGCCGAAGTGCCAGGGCCTTGTCACTGGTCACTGTTCCCTTGTGGTCTAGTGGTTAGGATTCAGTGCTCTCATTGTCGTGGCCTGATTTCAATCTCTGGCTAGGAACTGAAATCCTGCTTCAAATGGCTGCAGGCTGAGGCCACTGGAGGTCGAGAATGCAAACAGGAAACAGGTTGAGGGGTGTGAGAGTGAGCTGGGATTCAGACCCAACTGTGGGATTCTGGGACACCTCCAAGTGGGCAGGCCCAGTGGTAGTTGGGTCTACAGTTTCATGGCGCAGGAGTGACAGCTAGACTGGTCGTGGGGAATCAAGGTCATCAGTAAATGTTTAGATGGGGAAGGCGGAAGAGACAGCTCGAGGGAGAGAAGACCTAGGGCAGCACTGGGAGGCCGTATACGTAAGGATGGGAACCCCAAGTCTGAGAGGAGGGGGTGGAAAGGTAGGAGGACACACAGCAGGTGAAATCACAGTGGCCCTGCAGCCATGTCCTGCTTCTTTTTTTAAAACAGCACTTATTTACTTTTGGCTATGCCAAGTCTTAGTTGTGGCACACAAGATCTTCTGGCATGCAAACTCTTAGTTTTGGTATGTGAGATCTAGTTCCCTCACCAGGGATTGAACCCAGTCCCCCTACATTGGGAGCTCAGAGTCTTAGCCATTGGACTACCAAGGAAGTCCTCCTACCCCACTACTTGGGGAGTTTCCTTTGGGAAGTCACCCTTCCCCCTTTATCTTTCATGTGGTTTGAGTGATTGTGGTGGTGGTGGGGAGTCCTTAGACAACTGTGTATACCAGCCCCCCACCTTCACCTTGACTGATTTAGGGATGGTGTATAAACCCTCAAGGCCAACAGGAAGCAAGGAGACATGGGGGAAAGGGAGGCCTTGGGAGAAAGAGGAATTCTTCTAGAAGAAAGACTCCCCCTTGGCTTGGGAAGAGTAAGGTAGAATGTGAAGTCAGGCTCCAATACAGCCATTTAAAACTGTGATGGAAAGCCTAGAGCTACTGGAGGCTCCCTAAGTGAGGCCTGAGTTTGAAACCTAAATTGTAGGTGGCAGGACATATAGAAACCAGGTCTTAGATCACATAGTTTGAGCCACTAGATCAAGCTTCACCAGAAGCTAGTGTGCATACATGCTAAGTCGTTCAGTTATGTCTGACTCTTTGAGACCCTATGGACTGTAGCCCACCAGGTTCCTCTGTGCATGGGATTCTCCAGGCAAGAATACTGGAGTGGGTTGCCATTTCCTTCTCCTCAAGAGGATCTTCCCCACCCAGGGATTGAACCCATGTCTCTAATGCCTCCTGCATTAGGAGGTTCTTTATCACTAGTGCTACCTGGGAAATCCATACTTCTAGGCTTTTCAGTGATGCATGGCAATAACTTCCTTTGACTGTTGAATTCAGTTTGAACAGTGTCTTGCTTTGCTGCTTGCAATACAGAGTCCTAATTAATGCACAAGCTGAGGAATAGACCTCCTTGGGTCAGTGGGTAGATCATGGGATGGGAGGGGAGGTGCCAGGATTTCAGAAACTTTGACACTTCCCTGAATCGCTATCACCTATAGGGCCACATCAGTGGATTTTCTATTTTGTAGTCTTTTTACAGGTTTTCCCCCATTTCCTGCTGTATCACCTCCCTGACAGAACAATTAACATGATTCTAAAGTTGCTTACTCACTAAAAATGAGATGTTGTTGGAAAATAGGCTGGATTCTCCTTTTCCTTATGTTGCCTGCCCAGATACTGAAGGGCTGTCCTCATCAACCATGGTCAGTGGCATGGAACAGCAAGTTCTTGAGTCTCTCCCCACTCAGATCCATCCTCCACACTTTGGCCCAGTATGCTCTCTAAAATATACATCCCTGCCTAAAAAAATGGGCTTCCCTGGTGGCTCAGGGGTAAAGAATCTGCCTGCCAAAGCCAGAGATGCGGGTTTACTCCCTGGATTGGGAAGATCCCCTGGAGAAGGAATTGGCAAGTACTCTTGCCTGTGAAATTCCAAGAACAGAAGAGCCTGGTGGGCTACAGTCCATGAGGTTGCAAAGAATCAGACATGACACAGTGACTGAGCATGATTTAAAACCAGTACTTCCCATGGCCTGCTGGAATAAACAGCAAACCCCTTAGAAAGGGGTCACGTAGATGGTCTAGACACTAGTCCCCTTTCCTGTTTCAGCTACCTTCACATGAGCCCAGCACTGCACCCACTGTTTGTTGTCAAACTGTTTGAACATGCCATGCCCTCCAATGCCTCTATGACTGCGCGACCGCTTTCTCTTGTCTAGAGAGATTGTTGATAACAAGAGATCATGTTTGTTGGGCACTTTCCATGGACCAGGCACTGCATGAACTGCTGCCCATGGATTATCTCATTTAATCCTCACAGCTTCCCAATGGGTAGTGCTATTCTCATACCTCCACCACTCCCAGGGTGTTACCTCTGTCGCCACAACTCAGACACGGGCAGCAGGGAAGATGCTGGAAAAGCAGTCATGGATTCTGGACTAAGGTCAACCCTGGAGTTAGGGAATGGGTGGAGGATCAACAGGGAAGGTTGGATAAAATATAATTGTCAGGAAAAGTATCGGGGAGGGAGGAGAACCAGGTGAAGAACTGGACATCATCTCCAGTTTGGAAAATTCTGTCTCACTGGACACTGGGGCTCCACCCACCCTCAAGCAAAGAATCCACACTGGTCAGGCTAGGTCCTCTGGTCTATGTTCTACCCCGGAAGCCACAAATAATGTGTATCTCTACAATGTCTCTGCCAAGTGTGCACGTGTGTGCGCACGCGCGCGTGTGTGTGTGTGTGTGTAGGGGACTATTTGCATCTTTGTCAAAGTCGGGAGTCTGTGTGACAAGATGGCCACTCCCATCCAAGGTCCCCCAGGGCACAGTCCCCGTCTCTCAAACCTGCCCCTTTTCTGGTTGGGAAATGCTCCCCAGTTTTCTACTTCAGCTGCTTCCATCTCACCCCCTCCATACCCTCCCTCTTTTCAGACAACACAGCATAATTCCTCCAAAGATGTGTTTTCACAAAACAAAAGCCAGGAAGGGGAGGATGGCTTCTGGGTGCTTGGCAACAGCAGCCTGCAGCTCAGGCTCACCCAGCAACACAAAGGCCTTTGGGAACAGAACAAATGCACCAACGCCGGGCTTCCTCCCACGCTGGGGGCCCGTCTGCCTGCTGCAGGAAGAGCAGGCGCGTGGGAATAGCTCCACCACCCGCTCTGTTCTTGATCTTGTAGTCACTTGATTGATGGCTGTCTCCTTAGGCTCCTCGCTTGAGCCTAAGCTGCGTGAAGGCAGGACTTCTGTGTCTGTTGTGTTCACTTTGGTACTAGCACAGGGCCTGGCACACGGCAGGTGCTCGGTAAGTGTTTGTGGAAGGAAGGAACGGAGGAGGGAGGAGCTACAGAGCATGAGGGAGGTTGTGGGCAGGATAAGGGCAATCGTGTCGTCATTTCACCTTTAGGCCCATCCATTTACTCAGAGCCCCTCTGATCCTGTGTCTGGCTCCCTCACCTGGAAGGGACAGCGTGGGCTTCCACCTTGGGCAGCTGCTCTCTCTGGCTCCCCTAATGAGAAGCAGCGTGGCTTGGGGGAAAGCACACAGGGGGAGTCAGGCAGAGCTGGGTGTGAATTCCACTTTGTGACCTTGGGCAGGTTAAACTAGTCTCATCAGCAAATCAGCAGATTGAAGCTACTTAACTGTATTAAATGAGCTGCTAATATGTAAATGTGCCAGACTCCTGCTGGAGGCTTGAGAAATGGAGCTATTACTATTTACATGGCCTTTCAAACTTCATTCATTCATCTCACTCTAATGAGCACCTACAGATCCTCCTCTCACAGAGTTTACTTTCAGAAAGTTCTAGTCTCTTGCTTTCTGCTGGGCAAATGCAGATACTTAGCAAAGCAAATACTTTGCTAAGGGCCAGAGATCTGGGGATGAAGAAGATGGAGTCTTGTCCATTGAGGGGGTCATATCTTCCCCCATGACATTCTGGCCCCTGGTTTATCTTTCTTATCTCCTTCTCCAGTACCCACCCTGGGCTCAGTGAGTTCTCTGGACAGAGTTCAGCCCATGGCAGCCTCAGCTGACTCCTCAGAGAAGCCCTGGAGCTTCTCCCCACCCGCCCCCCCCCCAGCATTGTCCTGACTTGGGCTGCAATGGCCAGATGGTTATACTCCACCGTCCCCAGATGTGGGCTGTGGGGGAAGGGAAGGATCTTGGGCAGGGCTTCCCTGGGCAGCTGAGGCTCTCCTGCAGGGGCTACCCCTGTGCTTGCCACACCCTCCCAGCAGGTCCCTCACTGAAGGAGCATCTCCCCGGGCAACCTGCAACCTGGGTAGAGAAGATCTTTCAGCCTAGAAAGATCTTCTGAGACTCTTCAGCCCCAGTGCCTCTGGTTTGGTTGAATTCTTCCAGGAGTGCTGCGCAGTCATAGGACTTGCCTGGCCCTGCAACCTGAAGCAGGCTTCCCGCACAGGCCCGAGGCCTGAGGCTCAGCACGGTCCTTGCGGCTCCCCTCTCACACCTCAGCGGAATTCTGTCCTTGGCCTGGATGCCCTCACACTGGACTCCCTTGGTGAAATTCAGCTGTCCTCCTTTAAGACTCAGAAATCATCTCTTCCAGGAAGCTCTCTGGGATCCCACCCCTTTTCTAGGAAGAGTAGGCCCTTCTGAGCCCCTCCGAGCGTCCTGCCTTCTGTAAACGATCAATGCGGAGGAAGTTGTATGAGGTGGGGAGAAGCCTTATCGATCCCGGTACAACAATAATGGTAGTTGTGACGGCTGCCGTCGGCTACCTCCTCTGATGGTGCTGGCACGGCACTGTGCAGATGCAGCTGGGCTGACCTCATCCAAACAACCCCGTGAGGGAAGAGTAGCTGTCTTGTAAACCAGAGGCCTCCGTGCTTATGATCACATCATCACTAAGCATCAGAGTTATTAATAGTACACGGACGAGAGTCAGTTTGAAGCCTCAGAGTCCTCTGGAAATGGCAGTTAGGGAAGGAGAAGGGAAGGAAGGAGGAAGGAGAGAAGAGGAGAGGGAGGCAGGGAGGGAAGAAAGGATGGGGGCCCTCCATCTGTCCATGCCCCTGGTGGCAGGTCTACTGGCTGCCTGTTTCCCGGAGCTGTTGAGTCCCTGCCCCCTCCCACAAGCCCTTCCCAGAACCCTCTCAGCCTGGGATCCTGGCCTGGGAAAAATGCAATTGTCAAATCAAAGCCTGTCGGTGGGGAAGTTTGCTGCACCCAGGCGTGGTGAGTTCACAGTTTTAATCCTGATGTTTACTTTCTTTCTATCAGTCCCCAGTCGCTCCCTTTGAAGAACTGCCTCAGGCTTCCTGTTGCAGCATCAAACAGGGATGGAAGATGCAGCTCGCATTAGCAGTGGGAGCCTCTAAAGCAGCTTAAGTCCCTGGAGGTGCCTGGCACACAGAAACCTGCCCTCAGCCCAGAGCACAAGGGGCCAGGGAGGGGCTAGCAGCGGACAGACACCCAGGCACCGACACACAGATACAGTTGTGTTGATGTGCCTGAGCGCACACAGCTGCTTACCTGCACAGGAGCATACATGGCCCCCAAAGTGCCTCCAGACCGCATCCTCACACGCAGGTGTGCATGTACCTAACATACATGTCGACAGACACACGCCTGCACACACAACCACTGCAGTGACATGACACACCTGGTTTCTGGTAAGAAACTCAATTGTGTCCTTAGCTTCCTGCCAATGAGTCTACTGATTCCATCTCTGAAATGTTTCTAAGTGTCCCCTGCAGCCCCCCACTCCACCACAGCCCTGGTCCCTTTAGCCCCATCCATTCTGGTTGGATCTCTGCTGTATTCTTGTCCAGCCTTTAGTCTCTCCTACACACAAGAGCAGGCTTCTCAGGTGGCGCTAGTGGTCAACAACTTGTCTGCTAATACAGGAGACATACATGGCGCTGGTTCAATCCCTGGGTTGGGAAAATCCCCTGGAGAAGGGAATGGCAACCCTGTCCAGTATTCTGGCCTGGAGAATCCCATGGAACAAAGGAGCCTGGCAGGCTATACAGTCCGTGGGGTCGAAGAGTCAGACACAACTAAAGCAACTTAGCACACACGCGCACACACACAAGAGCAGGGATGGCCTGGGCATCAGGCGAATCTGACCACATCACTCCTGGTTTAAAACCCTTCAGAGGCCTCCCCTTTCCTACCAGATGTAATTCAAATCATTTGGCATCCCATATAAGGCCCTTTGCAACCTGGTTTCAGCCCCCAGCTTGGAGCCCCAGGCACTCAGCTCTCCAGCAGGGGAACTCCAGAGAGAAGCCGCCCCCACCTGCTCACCATATGAAACCCCCTCCTCCGCCTCTACCCTTTGCTTAGCTAAACTATCATGCAGTCATCTTTCAAGACCCAGTTCAGCCAGTGTCTCCCCACTCCACCATGATGGTCAAGGCATTGCTGGTGTCAGGTCCTACTGCTTTCTCTCACCTGACCACTATCAGCGTCACCTCTGTACAGGTGAGCTGCTCCCATGGGACTCCATGCATATCCAGTACAGAGCCCCAAACCCACGAATACTCAACCAACTCCCAGGAGTGAGTGAAGAAGTGAATTGGTCTGTATGATGGCTAGATCACACTAGGTCAGATCTTTCCAGCTGGGGACTACTCAGGCATGCTCTGTAACTTCTCTGAGCTCAAATGGAGATGAAAGGACCCAGGAGTGCCTCCAGGCAGAGTTGACAGTATGGGCTACAGAGATGCATGGAAAAATCTTTGCAGAGTGGCTAGTACGTGGTGAGTGCTCCATAAATGATCACTGTGGCTGTTGTTTCTGATTTCTATTTTTATTTTCACTGACGTCCTTCTACTCATGTTTTCTGATGTTCTCTCCCTCTCACTGTCTACCCAGTTTGGTGCTGTGCTCCCAGAACTGACTCAATGAAGGTTTGCTGTAGGATTGATCCACTGCATGGCTACAGAAGACTTGTTTCCAGTCTAAGAATTCTGAGCTGAGGATGTTCTTTCTCCCTGACCGCCTCCCCTGAGCCCGGAAGAGGAGAGCTGTACAAAGTCCGTTCCTCTGCCTGTCTTCCCCAGCTGTGCAGATGCTCCGTTTGCAGTTCTGTGAATTGAACCGAGTTGGGACCTGGGGGCGGGGGGTGGGGGCTTCCCAGGTGGCACAGGGGCGGGGGGTGGGGGCTTCCCAGGTGGCACAGTAGTAAAGTAAAATTGGCACTCCTGTCTGTCAATGCAGGAGATGCAGGAGACATGGGTTCAATCTGTGGGTTGGGACGATCCCCTGGAGTAGAAAATGGCAACCCACTCCAGTATGCTTACCTGGAAAATTCCATGGACAGATGAGCCTGGTGGGCTGCAGTCCTTGGGTCACAAAGAGTCAGATACAACTGAGTGACTGAGCACGGGACCTGTGGGGAGGAGAATAGCTGGCTCTTTCTGCTCCAAAAGGCAGAGTCACTGCAGCCAGCTCCTCAGCAGCTCCAGGCACCCCCCAATCCCCTGCCCCGCCACCCCAGGATGCTGCCCAAGTGGCTGGGGTTCCCATAGCAACTTCTGTGGGGACCAGCTGTCCCTTCTTTGCCACAGGTCCTCCTGGACTTGTGTGAGAGGTTAGGAAGAGAGTGTGGGGGATGCCAAGAAAGTGATATCATTTTGACATGCAGATGTTTTTAATCCTCACAATAACCCTGAGAGGAATATGCTATTATTGTCTTCATTCTACTGACAAGGAAGTGGAGGTCCAAGGTAACCCACCAACAAACAAGAGAGCTGGTCTGTAATTGTATCAGTTTGTACTGATGCATTCAGTGTGGATCAGCATAAGTCAGGATCTCTGGCCGCAAGTGATAGAAACTTGCATAAATAGGAAAGAATGCATGGAGGGACTGCAGTTCAGTGCCAGCAACGAGGGGAAAGTGAGACATGTGATTGGAAAGAACATGAACGAGGGCAGCTTCAAGGTTCTGTGTGGAAGGAAGGAACAATCATTTCATCAGAATGAAGAAACTTCTATTTTTAAATCTTTTTTTCTCTCCTTTTAGGACTGAGGTTCAGAAGGGCCTGGGTCTGGTGCCACCTGTTAACTGGGAGAAGGCAGAGGCTGTGATTGACAGCCCTACCAAACCTATATCCTGTGGGGTAGGGAGAGGTCCCCCTGAAAAACTTGGGATGCTGTTTCTAGAAGAAAGGGGAAT